CTTGTACATTAATAATAATAATGACGATGACGATGATGATAATGAAATAATTAATAGTAAATGTTGATAATAATAATAAATTAATTAAAAACTTAAAATTAATTGAACTTAACCTTTCCTTGCACATGAACTTATCTCTCAGTTTAGCTCAAAGTGCAAGTTAATACTTGCCCGATGACATTGAAGCAAATCGATTTCAAAGGACCGAAGTACATACTATTTATTATACGAGCAGCCACGCACATTCACATACGTACAGCCAGGATCGGAGACGGCGGCCGCACGTGCACACCATGTTTCGATGACGCGCGAGTGTCGCGCGGAAACAAGCTAAATATAAGCCTGCTAGGAAAAAGAATAACACCTCCCGCCTAGAAACTGGCATTACTTGCCGCGAAAACAGCCTGCTAGCTGCTGCTCGCATTCGTTTCCGCCGCGACGTGCGACGCGTATTGCCGCGTATTACGTTCCCGACAGTGCAGCCGTGTCCGCGACGAATCGCGCCTCGCCTCTCTTCGCTTCTGCGTTCTCTCCTCTCTCGTTTCGTCTCGTCTCGACTCCTCTTTCGCCGTACCTGTCGTCGATGTAAAATGATAACACGACCGTCCACGTCGATCGATGTCGACAGCGTCATTCTCCTTTAGAGACAGTTACGGCGTTTACGCTACAACTGCTAACCAAAATGGTCAAAATGGCCAATTCGCAATTTTAGATAGACAATACATTTTTTTAAAAAATTCAAATAATCTTTCGTAAATTGTGCGAGAAAGTTTGCATCACAAAGTGTACTGGAGCTACCAAGAAATGGTCAAAATGGTCAATTCGCAATTTTAGATAAACGCAAGACAATACATGTTTCTAAAAAATTCAAATAATCTTTCGTAAATTGTGTGAAAAAGTTTGTATCACAAAGTGTACTGGAGCTACCAAGAAATGGTCAAAATGGCCAATTTGCAATTTTAGGTAGACAATACATTTTTCTAAAAAATTCAAATAATCTTTCGTAAAACGTGTGAGAAAGTTTGTATTACAAGAGATACCAAGAAATGGTCAAAATGGCCAATTCGCAATTTTAGATAGACCGTGTAAAAAACGGTGCGTTTCTTAATGATTAATTTAAGTTACAAAGTTTTTCTTCTCTTTTTTACTTTGACGTCCCCGATGGAAATTTCACACTTCAATAGTCGGTAGTTTTAGCGTTTAACTTGCGTCGTACAGAGACGAGGAAACACACGAATGAAAACGTTTCGTCGAAATCGGACGAAACGCAAGTTCGAGCGATTCGTTTGTTTGCACAAACACCTGTCGGCTGTTTCTCATCATGTGACAGTCGTGTGCGTCGATTTGTGAGCATCGCGTCGTCTGGCTGGGGATGTCGCGAAAGTGTCGCGTCGTCGTCACGACGAGATTAAATTTTCACGCGGAGATACGGCGCGGTGTACACTGTGTTCACCGTCGTTGCGTAATACGTTGTGTGCACGCAACGTAATATGGGTATAATTGTTCGACGTTGTCTGTTGTATAATGCGCGTGTAATACGGTTTCCAGCGCTGGATCCAGCCGCGGAGCGAGTCACGAGCGAGGCGTCGTCGCGCGAGCATCACGCTTCGCGAGCCGTTGCTTGCCTTTCGGCTGAACGCGATCGTTTTTCAGACAGATCGGGTAATTGACAACCTTGAATCGATCGCGAACCTCGATTCGTCGCTACTGTGAAACGCATTTGCGGCACGCAGTGTTGGTAGTGTTGGGAGCCGTCGCACGTTCTGTGCCCCGACGCGATTCCATTCGCCCAATTCGGCCGATTCGTGATACATAATTCACGAATATTTTACACGTTGTAATAGTGTTGACACTAATGTAATTTTACACTAATCTTGCTGCTTCTTTCGCCAAGTTATTGTAGAATCATTCGCGAACACATTACACGTTATAATAGTGTTAGACTGTCGTGATACATCTTTCACGAATATTCATTGTTATAACACTATTATAACACATTGTGTTCTAATAGTGTTGTAACAGTGTTTAATGTTGCTGCTTCCTTCGCCAAGTTATTGTAGAATCATTCGCGAACACATTACACGTTATAATAGTGTTAGACTGTCGTCATACGAATATTTTACACATTGTGTTCTAATAGTGTTTTAACAGTGTTTAATGTTGCTGCTTCTTTCGCCACGTTATTGTAGAATCATTCGCGAATACTTTACACATTATAGTAATGTTAGACTGTCGTGATGCATCCTTCACGAATACTTTACACGTTGTGTTATAACAGTGTTGTAATAGTGTTTAATGTTGCTGCTTCTTTCATGTTATTCTAAAATCATTCGCGAATATTTTGCACGTTATAATAGCATTACACTAATATAGTGTTTAATCGTGTTGCTTTCTTCGCCAAGTTATTGTAAAATCATTCGCGAATATTTTACGCATTATAATAGTGTTACACTATCGTGTTAGACCATTCGCGAATATTTTGCACGTTATAATAGTATTACACTAATATAGTGTTTAATCGTCGTGTTGCTTTCTTCGCCAAGTTATTGTAGAATCATTCGCGAATACTTTACACGTTATACTAATGTTCGACTGTCGTCATACAAATATTTTACACATTGTGTTATAATAGTGTTGTAATAGTGTTCAATGTTGCTGCTTCTTTCGCCAAGTTATTGTAGAATCATTCGCGAATATTTTACTCATTATGATAGTGTTAGACTGTCGTGATACATCTTTCATGAATATTCATTGTTATAACACTATTATAACATTGTGTTATAATAGTGTTGTAACAGTGTTTAATGTTGCTGCTTCCTTCGCCAAGTAATTGTAGAATCATTCGCGAATACTTTACACGTTATAATAGTGTTAGACTGTCGTGATGCATCTTTCACGAGTATTTTACACATTGTGTTATAATAGTGTTGTAATAGTGTTTAATGTTGCTGCTTCCTTCGCCAAGTTATTGTAGAATCATTCACGAATACTTTACACGTTATAATAGCGCTACACTGTCGTGACACAACGCATCGTTCGCGAATATTTTACACGTTATAATAGTGTTACACTAATATAGTGTTTAATCTTGCTGCTTCGCTCGTCAAGTTATTGCGGATTCGTCGCGGAAACAGAATCGTGCGTGTTTCAACGCGGATCGAATTGACTGGATAGAGACGTTCGCGATCCGCCGCGAGGCGGTGAAATATTTGTATCGACGAGTTATCGTTGACGGGAATCGTTCAGCCAGCAGCTTGTAGTTTGTTGAGAAAGCAGGTATTTGCGATCGAACGATTCGCGAGGCGAATACGAAAGGAACTGAAAGTACGGATTTATTTGTTAAACGACAGCGAAAGAATGTCCTAGCGACAATGTGAAATCGAAAGGGAGATCCACGAGATAGTAAATGATTTCTACCTTTTAGCGGGAAGAAACTATAGGAGAAAGGCTCATTACTCGATTAACGACAGGATATGCTAAAATAATATCTAATTCAGAAGACTCTGACTCTGCCTTCTACAGCAATGGTGTCAAAAATCGATGAAATCGACAAGTTTTGTATCTGAGTGCACGGACTTTGAGTTGCAGAGAAGATCTGAAGAGAATCTATGCCATAAAGTGTCACAAAATCTATACTACAAACTACCATACAAGTAATTAGTCGCTGAAGAGAGCCTCTTTTAAAGTTAATCTGTCTGTAAATCTGCACCAAAAAAAAAAAGAAAAAAAAAGTAATTGGCTGCAACATCGCATCGTTCTCTCCTCTAGTCGTGTAAATCATAGTATCGACGTAGCTGAGATTCACGAAAGAACAGCGTCGAAGAAATTTACGAGACCAAATGGAGAGCGATAAGAGCACCGACGATTCGTTTACGTAACGCGTAGTGGACTCGAGAGAGAGAGAGAGGCGCAAGGTGCGGCCGTTTCCGAGTCGCTCTTTGAACTACAAACTTCGTGCCTTTGAAGTACAATTTTTCCAGTCTTCTTGTCGATCGATACGCCTCGAATGACGTGTTTTTCGATCGACAAATCTAGTCGAGAGATTTTTTTCTTTTTCTCCATCGATTCGCGAGTGCCCTCAAGGTCGGAGGATGTTGAAAAATCTCTCCCGTTCTGCTGGATTTTTTAGAGCGAGGCGAACTTTTGGTCAGAAATCCGATCGAATGTGATTGGATTCGTTGGACAGTGAAAAAAGAGTTGTGAGATAATAAAAATACTATTATAAATATATAATTAATTATACACAATATCATTATAGAAACGAAGGTGCGCCGTTGTGTAACGTATATACGTTGTAATAATTACAAATAATAATACGCGCTACGATTTTTACGATGTCTGATCGACAAAAGTGTGCACACCAGGTTGAATCGTACGGTCACCTGGAAGGGGAAGTCGCGAGTTAGCGGATGGCGCGAAAAGGGAAAAATGGCAGAAGCGAAACACGCGTGGGCCACGTTGAAGTTGGCCAAAAGGTTGACGTTGTTGAACAACGGGGCGGCGAACACGGTGCACGCTGGCGGTTCCACGACGATTTGGTACGACGTCCCCGCGCCCGTGATAATACACTGTTGCCAACAATTGTCAGGAGACGCGTTCGAATCCGAGGGAATCGACTGTTC